AAGTCTTGAATGGCACTAAAGAGAAATAACTATCCGAGTCGGTGCCAGGAACGCATAACGAGCAGCTCCTGCATGTAAACATGGAGAGGTGGGGGTCGATTTAATGAAAACCAGAGTTGGGGAATGTTGACTAAATACGTAATCTTAAGGCCACCACAAAGGGCCTCTTGGTCTCTGGTTTGGAAAGAGATCCTCGCATGCACCGGGAGTTATTTTCACTGCTCTGTCGTGACAGAGGGGGGTGTGCAATCTTGGGATCTGCTTGTGTCATTCCCAATCTTCCTTCCCTATCCAGATCCGTCACACAGTCCATATTTATGAATGGACGTTTTGTTTGTTCAACCAGAAGTCTCTGTTCATCTTTTGGATGGAAAAGTCATGGAAGGTTTGTGGTATAGCCACGTTGTGCGTCTCAGAAAAGTGACGATGGAAAAGCGACTGGCAGTGAGGTGAAAACTCATTTATAGGTATGATGCCAGTGAAGTATTATTACAGCGCTTGAATCGAGGTTCACACGCAAGTCCTATATTTTTCCCTGGAGAAGTCTCCATCAGCAAATGGCATCATTTTGATTAACGTGGCATCATATACATTACCGTTCAAAAGTTTGGAATCATAATTGGATTAATAATTTTATTCAACAAGGATGCGTTAAGTGACAGTAAAGACGCTTAAAATGTTCCAAAAGATTTCTGTTTCAAATAAATGCTGTTCCTTCAGAGAATCCTACAAAAAACTAAATGTAGTACGGTTTCCACAAGAATATGAAGCAGCACAACTGTTTTCAACATTGATGATAGTAATAAGAAATGTTTATTAAGCAGCAAATCGGCATATTAGAATGATTTCTGAAGGAGCATGTGACACTGAAGACTGGAGTAATGATGCTGAAAATTCAGCTTTGCATCACAGGAATAAATTGCATTTGAAAATATATTCACATAGAAAACTGTTATTTGAAATTGTAATAATATTTTCTGTTTTTACTGTATTTTTGATCAAATAAATGCAGCCCTAAAGACTTAACTTACCAAATGAACGGTAGTATGAATGGGATGCATATAGAAACAGGAGATCTGTTTCATTCTGTTTAATTTCATTGAAATCTGGAGATCAGACACAAACTACTGCTGTTTACACAGAGCTCCTTAATGACGGCCACATCAGAGGCTTTTCAGACACACTGATTCAATCCCAAATGATTCCTCAGTTTTTCTGTGAGATTCAATTTCTCAACCAGAACCTTTTATTCTGCAGGATCCACCACAAATGGCATTCCTGTTGATGTTTGTGACCGTTCTGCATTTGGTCACCCTAGCCATGCTTTTCATTGCCACCATGGAGAAGGTTAGTCGTAATGCACAAACCCATACCTTACCCATAGTTACTACAATAAAGAAACATCTGCCTAATGAGCAAATGCATAGAGTTCTGAGGTCATGCATGTTTATCTATCAAAATACATTCAGAATTGTAGGTTGAATTCTTGCACTAAATATTTAAATGTATATATCAGGTAAAGCTGAAACATGTTTACTTGCATTTTTTCCCCTATGGTATTTAAAAAAAAATCTTTTATTATACACTTTTGTTTGATTATACGCTTTTTTATTGCTGTTTTTACACTTGCATTTTTTTTTGTACTGACCTGAAGCTTCTTTATCTAAAAAAGCTATACACATTTTAATTTATTTGTTGCATTTTATTTCTTCTTATTTCATTGCATTATTATTATCATTATCTTTTTCTAGTCCTGGTGGTCTTGGGGAGACATAGAGAACACAGATCTCTGGTATAAGTGCACCTATGAAAACGCCACAGAAACCTGGTTATGTGCTTCTGCCAAAGACAGCGGTGGGTAACGAACACTCATTAACAGATTTTATAATCAAATAATGAATTCAATAACTGGATTTAATTACCAGAGTCCAGGAGAACTGGTGAATGTTCACAAAACTGCTGATTTGATACATTTGCAAAAAGGCCTAATATTGGGGAGACATAGAGAACACAGATCTCTGGTATAAGTGCACCTATGAAAACGCCACAGAAACCTGGTTATGTGCTTCTGCCAAAGACAGCGGTGGGTAACGAACACTCATTAACAGATTTTATAATCAAATAATGAATTCAATCACTGGATTTAATTACCAGAGTCCAGGAGAACTGGTGAATGTTCACAAAACTGCTGATTTGATACATTTTCAATTTGCAAAAAGGCCTAATATCACATATTTTGATGATGCTGAGTGCAAAAATATCCATAAAAGATTTTTCAAATTATTTATATGTATCAGCTTTAAGGTTAACAAAAGCAGTCAAATGTCAAAAATTTATGTATCATTTCACTTGCAATCTGCAAAGAAGTGGATAAAGCGTAAATATTAGGCATAAAATAAAGTCTTAACTCATACATGTGAAAATCTGCTTATTAGAACTGAACAAATAGTTGTAATCTGGCTCAGCTAAAGACTGGAAATGTGTCTTAATGACAGTTTTCTGCTGATTAAAGAATAAAACGATACGTCTCCACCTTACAAATGGTTGTAAAAGCAAAAATTATATGAAATGCATCATATTTTAGTGCTCTAGCAAAACATCAATCAGCACCTAAACTTAGTACGAGTATCCAAGTATTGGATTTCTTTCAGCAAATGTGACGCAGGGCAGTGTTATCAAACTATAATAACTACATGTATTTGTTAAAGGTAAGTAACTATTGTTGTATGTGTGTGGTTTTCTCTCTCAGAATGGCTGCAGTCAGTCCAGGCCTTCATGATCTTGTCTGTGGTGCTCTCTTCTATCTCCTTCATGGTGTTCCTCGGACAGCTCTTCACCATGTCTAAAGGAGGTCTTTTCTACTTCACTGGCTTGTGCCAACTATTTGCAGGTATATAAAATAAAATTTTGTATTTATTTTTGGTTACACGTTACTTTAAGGTGTCCTTGTTACAGTGCAATGATACATTTAAATACTAAGTGAGTAATATTAGCTACATGTACTTACTATGTAACGTGTAACAAGGACACCTTAAAATAAAGTGTTACCTTATTTTTTATTTAGGTAGGGAGGTAGACAGAAAGTTCATTTCATAATCTCACTCCGTATACAGTACCATATGTGCTGCCCCCTTGTGGCCACTTTTTTATTCTCACTCCGTTCACACTTACAGGTTTTGCAGCGTTTGCGGCTGCTCTTATCTTCACCTTTCAAAGGAGTGCGATTCTTCAAGACTCTCGTGAACTGGAAAAGGGTCATTTCGGCTACTGTTACATTCTAGTGTGTGTGTGTGTGCCCCTTTTACTTATCAGTGGCGCACTTTATGTGCATCTGCGCAAACGGGCCTGATTTTCTGCTTAACACCACACATGTAGGCTACTTTAGTTGTTTAGTCTGCTATGAGATTATACAGTATTTGCTCATGGCTCTGATTAGGCGAGTCAGTTTATGATATTGCTTATTGTTATTTATTGTTATAACATTAGTTTTTAGGACCAACTCTCAAAATCTGCTTTGCTGCTTTTTTTGCGGAGTTGCAACAAAACTTGCTGTATTTTCCAATAGTGGGGAAGCTGCTGCTCTAAGTTTGATGCTGACAATCAAGTGGGATTTTGATGCAAAATTCTTTTTTAAAGGAAAATGAAAATTTGCTAAAACATTTACTCACCCACAGGATATCCAAGGCGTACATCCAAACAGATTTGGAGAAATGTAGCATAATATCACTTGCTCAGCAATGGATCCTCTGCAGTGAATGGGTGCCATCAGAATGAGAGTCCAAACAGCTGATAAAAACATTACAATAATCCACATGAAGAAAAGCGCGTGTTTTGAATAAATCCATCATTAAGGTGCTAAAAGGCCTAGCTAAAATACGACTCCTCTATCCATAATATTTCTTTCTCCAGTGAAAAAGTCATCTCGTCTGAATCAGGAGAGAAATATGCACAGATCAAGCACCGTTTACAAGCCAAAATAGTCCAAAATGGTTCTACACAAATATATATCGGTAGATCTCTATTGGTGAGGAAGTGATGTAATGCTACATTTCTCCAAATCTGTTCTGATGAAGAAACAAATGTTCAGCTAATTTTCATTGTTGGGTGAACTGTTACTTTAAATAACGCTTTAAGAAAACTGGAATGTAAAAAACACAGAAAAGTTTCTTTAAAATCAAATTGTCAGAATTCCCAAAACTGGGAATGTTTTCCAATCCTAAATATGTGCCCATGTGCATTTGTATTATTATGTTTTTATGTATGCAAACTTTATAAATACATTTTTTTAAACAATGACAACAGTAGTTATGATGTTTTGGGTTAGAGTAAACTTTCAGTGCAACAATGAATAAACAGAAAAGAACAATCGTACCACAAAAATGCTGCAGTTCAAGTAGGATCAACAAGTGTCCACTAGAAAATGTTTGGTATCGAGTGAGTCATGGTGCTCTTTAAGTGGTTTACATAGTAATGAGACTGAATCAGTAAAAATAGTTGTTACTTTGTAACAATCTGCACTGCTAATTGCAATACTTAAATATTCAATTCAAACTGCTCTAACAAATCTGTATCATTGTGTTTAGTTGACAACATACCATCATACTACACATTCTCTGCTTTGAAAAGCACTGCTGATTCTGTCTAGGCACAAAATAAACATCGGTGGCATGACACTACACATAGATGTGCTGATTAAAGAGGAATGTGTGCATTAATTGCATGAGTTGCATGGAATTCCAGTAACTTGTTCATGCAAAACCCAAAGGTGAGCTCAGCATACTTTCTTCAGTGGATTAAAACACTCTGCTTTGAAAAGCACTGCTGATTCTGTCTAGGCACAAAATAAACATCGGTGGCATGACACTACACATAGATGTGCTGATTAAAGAGGAATGTGTGCATTAATTGCATGAGTTGCATGGAATTCCAGTAACTTGTTCATGCAAAACCCAAAGATGAGCAAAGGTGAGCTCAGCATGCTTTCTTCAGTGGATTAAAACACTTCTTCTTCCCTGCACGTGTCTAAACATCTAGTATATTTCTTGTAACCTCATGTCCACCCAACCAGAGGTGTGTGATGTGAAAAGAGACCACTAGGCAGGTGTTGAGTTCCAGCCTCGCCCCCTTTTGACTGTAGCTGGGAGGGAAGGAAGGTCTCAATCTCTGCTCCCCGGAGAAGACTGGCTCGGCTGGTAGAACCAGTCACGATAGCGAGCCGGCGACAGGGACGTGTTTACTAAAGACACAACAAGGACAGAAATCTAATATCGGACTTGGGCCGAGGGAGACCAGAACATGTTTTGGGGATGGTTTGCTGATGATATGCTGACTCAAGACGTGGATTTGGGCGAAAGCTAAAAATGGGCAGATCGCAGTGATGACTAGTTGCTCACATTGGCTGGTGACGGGGAGTAATTTAACACCAGACAGAGAGGCCATTTAGAATGGGAGGAGATAGCAGTGATATGTCAGAACTTGACGGAAAGAGTCAATGGACTGAGGGTGTGTGAGTGAGACAGACGGGTAAGTCTCGACTTTTAGTACATAATCTGTTCTTGTAAAGTGTTACTATAAAATAGATTTAAAAAAATTTATTTTGGCATCAAATTTGCAAAGAGTAGTACATTTACAAAGTAGTGCTTTTAAAAAGAGTATTTATTACTTAAGTGCGAACTTAGTGTAAAGTTTTTGGACACTTAATTGCATAATTAAAGGTAGATGTATAATAGTTAAAATTTATATTAAATGCAACTGGCTGAACTTTAGCGTGCTTTTGACCTGCTTAGGACTTAATACATCTTTATATGTAATTTCATAATTACTTCTGCTGTCTCTTGAAATATTGTTCAAGTTTACTGACAATAGTACTGACAAGCATTTATGGTGGTAAACTAAAATATACTTGTCATTTTATTTCACAATGGCCCTTGTGAAAAAGAAGTACACTTTAGTTTACTTAAAAAAAAAAGAGTCTTTATTCATTTTAAAGCATATACTTAAGTGAGAACTGGATGTAATGTTCTCGGACACTTAATCGCATGTTAATGGCAATTAAATTGAAAAAAACAAACTGTAGTTTAATTTTACATCAAATGCTATTAGCTAAATTTAAAAGTGCGTTTTGATTCACTTAAGTACATTATTAAATGTAATTTTATAATTATTGTCTTTTGAAATATGGTTAATGTGTACATTTATGGTAAACTGAAATATACTTTAATATAATTTCTATTAATATTTGTATGTCATGTATTTTTATGTATTTGTCATGTATTTTACACATTTGTAATGATGATATTGTACAACATATTAACTTTAAATGAAATATTAAATAACACACTGCAGCTAAAATTATAATCAAGTAAGGTACTGTGCTTTAGCATGTTAGTCAACACATCAAAATAAGTGTACTTCTTTAAAGCATGGCAAGATTATTAAAACATTTTTTTTAAATATACCTTAAAGTATACTTTTGATTTGACATTATTACAATGTGCACATTTTAAATGGTAACTTTCTTTAAGCACACTTAAATAGCCTTTTATTTAATTAATATTACATTATCTGCAAGTGCAGTTTTTGTAATGTATTTAAGATTTGAAGTACACCACAAGTGCACATTCAATACAATTAAGCACACCTCTTTTTCACAAGGGTGTTCACCAAACCAAACCAAAAAAAAAACAAAAAACTAATGTTGTTGTTTTCCCTCAAGTCTGTATTCCAGGTCATTTCAAAGCTCTCCAAATCTTCCCAGGACGATAGCAACAATTCCACCATGAAGTATCCAGCTTTTCTATTGACTCTTGGTGTTTAAAAAGAGTTAAATATCTTCAACACAACCTCAAATATCTGAATAATTCACCAACCTCCTCCTCCAAGTAACTTAGAACAGCTGCCATTTGTTGTTTACATATCAACATGTAATTTTCCACAGTCAATTCCCTTGTAGTAGAAGGATATCTCCAACCGTCGTCAGGCTCCAATCATGTCAAACTCTCAAGAGCAGAGCCTCAACGAGAACATCATCTTCGCTCCACTGACAGATTCCAATCCGGACTTCTTGTACTGCGAGGAGGAGCGCTATTGTGTGGAAAGCCTAGTGAGCTCCGGTCATGAGGCTTTCCACACCAAACTCCACCAAGAACAAATCGGATCGTTCCTGTCCCCTGGCGAGGTGAACCAGATCTCCGGCTGGGCCGAGGACTATCATCAAAGCGATGCAAACCAGGAGGATGGAAATGGTGAAGTGGAGGTCGGTTCTGATGGGGAGGACTTCTCTGGACATTATTTTCCCACAGAGTCCGACACTCCGGCGCCATGCTTGGAACTGGGATGGCCGGAAAAGACAATCTGGATGGACATGGGACAGATTCACGTCTACACCAACCCTCCTGCAGAGCAGACGCCCACCATACGGGAAATCCTCAGGAGTCACCTACAAGGAGCCACTAAGGTAAGACCAGGGCTGTTTTTCTCAAAAGCATCGTAAGCCAGGTTTGTGGCAATGGTTCTGCGATCTACTTAGGGTTGTGATGCTTTTGGGAAACGCAGCCCAGATCCTTGAAGCTAAAACAAAGAGGTTGACCTTAAGGTCCATCACACCAAGAATGATAACTACAACAATAAAGATATGGATTTAAAAATCGTTCTTACAAACTATGTTACAGACTTTTCATTAAGACCCCAAAGAATCATATTAACTCGTGGAAAATGGGCATCGGATGACCCCTTTAAAGAAATAGCAGATTCACAACACAACTATAGTGATAGCAGCACAGAGGAACGATATCATTGGAATCAATTTTTTTCTCAGCTGACCCTTAAAACCTTAAAAACACTGACAGTCAATCAGAATCCACCTGAGCTGGAGCTGGAGCATTTAAAGTGGCAGTCGACAATAATAAACAATTCATATAGTGGTTATTGTAGTTATCTTCATGGTTTTGATTCTTGGTGTGACCGGGCCTTTACGCTGTAAATAACTATCATAATTTTAATGGTAAAAATGTTACAGTAACTTTACAGTACAGTAATTTGTTAATGAAATGGTAAAAAACTGTAATGGTAAATTTAATTTTTGTAAATGAAAAAACAAGCCATCTTATAATTTACAATGAAAAACCGTAAACTGACATTCCCAGAATTCCCTGTGTGACACTTCAAATTTGATGGTTTTTCATTGAAATAGTTGTTTCTCCTTAGTTTTCTTTTTGGTTATGTACATTTTGGTTTTATGTTATGTCTTATGTTTTTTAATTAATGTTTATTGTTTTATTTTAGTGTCATGTGTGTTACCAGGATGGTGTTTTATATTTTTTGTGCAACTTCTATATACAGTATGTCTATACATCATCTATATACTTATATATACTGTATTAGAATTTACTTTAGCTTGTAGCTGGAAAAGTTACTTATAATGAGCTTTGATTCATCATGCATGCTACTGTATTTTTTTCTGGCAATTTTCTGGCAACCACAGCTGCATTTTTTAAACTATACATCTAACAGATTTTGTTAACAGTGTACTTGAATGATGAAAACTATTTTACACAAAACTATTTTAAAAGCAGACACTTTAGAATGATGTTGCATATGAAGATTCATCTACAGGAAGTCTGTTAGAACTTTTCCTGTAAATATTTTTTTTTTGCATTTGTGTTGGGCAGCTGATTGCTGTTGTTACAGATAAATTGTCGGACAGCGCCGTGATTGGTGACCTCCAAAACGCTGCATCACGGGGGGTTCCTGTGTACATCATCCTCAACAAAAGATCCGTGGAAGAGAACTGCTTTTTGCACCGGCTTCAACATCCAGTGAGTGGACATAGAAAACTAAATCTAAAAATAAAAAACTATTAAAAAATTGTAACTTGAAAAAGAAAAATCTTAAAAAAATTTTTTTTAAACTGACCTTATTTCAGCTAATTGCCAAGACTTAAAAATAAAGGTTGAAGAACTATTTTAGCTTCCCCCAAAGAACCTTTTAGTGAACAGTTTTTAAAAGAACCACTTTTCTTAGTGTGATTAGCATTTAAAAAATAAAAAATAAAAGTTTTATCACAACTTTTTGAGGAAAAGAAATGTTTCATGGATGTTAAAAGTTAATCTAAAGAACCTTTATTTTTACGTTTTATTTTTTATTTAGTTTAACTTGGCGTAATAAGAAAAAATGACATGAAATATAATGAAAATATAAAAAATATTAATAAAAACTATAATAGTATCTCAATCATACTCAAATAACATATAACGGTTAATGACTCAGTGTTCTGCCTGATTTTGTCCTGGTTTTCATGATTATATTCAAGCCATGCAGTTATACAACCTTTAGACCACAAAACCTCCATGCACACCTTAACAGACTGAACTTTAGGCTGTTCCACTAAACAAAAGACCTAGACACACCTTAGTGGATAACTCTGCATCTGTTAGCAAATGTTACTCTCCATCACAGAGTATATTTCTCTTTCTGTCTCTGTAAGTATGAATGAGAAGAACTCACAAAGCAGTGATGAACAGGTTCAGCCACATTCATCTGGTGCAGATGATTGGCGTGCGGTTGAGGAATGCTTGGGTTCAAATCACTCCACATCTCTGATGTTAAAAGCTGAAATTCCTAAAGTTTTCAATGCATTGGAAATCAACCGAACAATCGCTTGCAGCTACAGTATATGCATTCATGAGAAAAGGTTCTGAAACGTTCGGTTTTGCAATGTAGTTCACGGGAGTCTCTTCCACATATTCCAGAATATCATGGTGCGCATTCTTGGAGGTAAAACGTACCTGACGCGCGACACTAAGATGGTGGTCGGAGAACTGAAGGACAACTTTGTGTTGGTGGATCTGGAGACGGTGATTTTTGGGAGCTACAGGTAAAGAACGGTTTCATACAGTAATAGAGCTCATAAATCAGCCAAGAAACACATTAGCTGCAGTTGAAGACTTGCTCTAGGGAACATGGGTGGGAACCTTCTGGGATTTGAACCAACTTTTGGGTTGCCAGCTCATACCTTTAAAGACTATAAGCCACACCACCCCTACATTATGCAGACAAATAGAGAAATTAACAGTTTGTGGGAACAATACGTTTGTCTCTTTCACAGCTGTTAAAGTACACTACTGTTAAAAGGTATTAAAAAAAAAAGTAGTTAAAAGTTTATTTAGTTTTTTTTTTTTAAGAAGTCTCTTTTGTTCACATAGGCTGTGTTTATTTGACCAAATATACAGTAAAAACAATAATGTTATGAAATATTACAATTTTAAATAGCTGTTTTCTATTTGAATATATTTTAAGATGTAATTTATTCCTGTGATGCAAAGCTGAATTTTCAGCATCATTACTCCAGTCTTTAGTGTCACATGATCCTTCAGAAATCATTCTGCTGATTTGCTGCTCAAGAAACATTGTTTACTGTCAATGTTGAAAACAGTTATGCTGCTTCATATTTTTGTGGAAACCATGATAATTTTTTTCAGGATTCTTTAGAACAGCATTTATTTGAAATGGAAATCTTCTGTAATATTATAACCAACTGATCAATCTAATGCATCCTTTCTGAATAAAAGTATAAAAAAATCTTACTGACCCCAAAATTTTGAATGGTAGTCTACTGTTAATAAAGAGTGGCTTATTCACCTAAAATCATTTACTTTCCGTCATGTTATTTAAAATCCATATGAGTCCACATTTAAACAATGGACTCGTACTGTCAAGCTCCAAAAGAACAAAATAGCACCATAAAACTATCATAAAAATATCCCATATTACTCGTGAGCGATTTTTTTTCTTTGCTTTTGAGGCTTTTTTGAGATCGGAACGATTCCGAAAATATAAAAGTCCAAAAATATATCACTTTGAAAGCGTCGTTGGCTGTCACGAGCTAAGTGCGTAATGAGACGCCATGTTTGAAATATGTGGAAGAATTAATTGCGCACGAGTCATATGGACTATTTTTATTAGGCTCGAATTTTATGGTGCTACGTTTTGGGAGTTGTACATCTTCTAAATCCTTTATAATCTCTTGATTTGTTTTCTGTGTCTTGGTCAGTCTTAGCTGGAGCGATGCTCACCTGCACCGTCAGCTCGTCACAGTCTTCAGCGGCCGCGTGGTTGAATCTTTCGATTGTGAGTTTAGGATCCTCTACGCTGCCTCGCTCCCAATCCCGGAAGCGTGGAAAACTGGAAAACCAGCTACCGAGCCCAAAACATTTAAAAAACTACAGCCATTGAACATTAATAAAGTCGAACTCACAGAGTTCGTCTCTAGTCCTCCACCTCCACCTATCGACAGGCCCCTGGACTGGGAGGCGATGGGGGTCATCCAGAGATTCCCGGACAGCCCTCTTAGTCCACCTTATGCTGCTGAGGTGCCCTTTCATCATCGACACCTCCTGGACGGTCATCCGGGAAGATGGGAGCCTCCCTACAATGACTTTAACAGCAGACTTGTACAAGGGTATCCAGAGGACGGCAAGTAAGTAAAGCATAGTACACATTTATTACATTATAAACGATGGTCTCACAGTCACTTAAAGGAATAGTGCTTACAAAAATATGAGAAAACTACAAAACAACTATTTTAAACAGCCTTTGAACAGATTAATTTGCATAAAATACCACCAATTTAAAGGGATAGTTCACCCAAAAATGAAAATTGAGCGATACAGTACAACTTAATGAAATTTATCATGTCTTATGTAATTAGTTTTTCAGTATTTAATGTTTGAATAAATGTCATGAACAAGTTTTTATCACAACCACCGTTTAAATGTTTATATTTCAGAAAATTCTTTGGAGTAGTAACTTCATTTAAAATAGTTTTTAAATGTGCGTCAATGCCCAGCACGAATTATTACAATTTTCTTTTCATATTCTGTGTGCTCTTTTTTTGGGGACTTAAACTCATGCAGTGGAAGTCGAAGTTCTACTTGTTTATTGAGTGAAAAGAGAGCTCAACTGCTGAAAAACGTATTAAAATATGGAAGCTATGGAATATGAAA